GTTGAGCACTACTGAGTACTGATGTCCCATTTATTCCATTCTGGATTTCTGGTATTCCACTAAATTGATCTCTGTTCAATTTTAATGCATTATTATTTATTTTTTATTTGGCTGGCTATGATTATGCTTCCACCTTTGTCTGAACAAATGGTATAGTGTTACTATGTTGCTCATGTGCTATTATAACACATTTGAGCAATTTGCTCTTATCCTTACTTGAAATGGAAAATTGCAAGTGACATTTTTATAAATAACTCAAACTTTGGTGCAAGTAAATGTATTATAAGTGCAAGTAGTTGGTGCACATTTGCGAGTAAAAAGTGCAGGTAAATTCACTTACAAGTGCACATACTTTCACCTATAAGTGCATGTAATTTTGCCATGTTAACATTCGTGCACCTAGGTGCAACTACTTATAACTATAGATGCACCAAGTTATAACATCAGGTGCACTTTGTATTCATGCTCAGTGTAAATTTTACTTGCACATATAATTCATTTTACATGCATTTGTAATACATTTTACTTGCATATAATTTTGTCTTGTTAACAATTCATTGATCGGGTAGTGCACCTTCTTTCGCCTACAAGTGCACCTATTTTCACTTAAAGTGCATGTAATTTTGCCTTGTTAACATTAATTGGTCGGGTGCACTTACTTTCACCTAGGTGAACCAAGTTATAACTATAAGTGCACTTAGATCTGAATACGTGGCACGTGCTGAGCTATTCGCATTTCGCTCCTGGGCGCGGTATTAACACATGAACGCAACTCTACATATATATATATATATCTGACAAAGATGCTATGTTTTATAGGGTAATTTAGATGCTAATTGTGCTTTAATTAGAGCCCTTTTTATGTCTAATTCATGTTTAATTAGCTTAATTTGATAGAAATTAGGATTAAGGACTAATTCTATTGCATTTGGAGAAAAATAGCAAAACATTGTCATTTTCAGGGCATTCCGGCGACAGTTCGGTAAAATGATCATATCTTGAGCTAGGAGTGCCCAAATGAGGTGATTCAAGTGGATATGGTTCGAGCTTTTCAAGGGCTACAACTTTCATTTTAGGCAAAAATTCTAGAAAGTTCGACGCAGCTCGCAACGTGCGTTTCAAAGTACGTGGATGAGACACTTAAATGAAATTTCAGATTTTAAACCTATTTAATGGCTTGTAAGGGGATTGATAGGATATATGCCCGACCGCCGCATGGTTTTCCAACTACCGACCGATATTCCGCGTAGCTTATCACTAGTCCGTCCTATCCCGAACCGTTGGCCTTCTCCCGATCGGCTTTGTTTGACCGACCGACCGACCGCTTGTGTCTGACTGAGTTCTCTTGTTCGCCTGTGCATATTCGTTTTATGCCAATCCACGTGTTGAAAACAGCGGATGCCAGAAGAACCGTTCTTAACTAAAGACACGTATGTGCAACGTGGTCATCATGCCGACAACCTGGATTTTGTCCCTCCTTCGTGCCTATAAATAGAGGTAGTCACAGTAGCATGGGGGACTTTTGGGCAGAAAGAAAGAAGACCACTGAGAGCTTCCCGACTGCTATCCTGTCGGACTTAGAGTTAGGTCGTCTTATTGATCATGTGTATTAGTACTATCATTTTGGCATCGTCTGTGGGGGCCGACACTACAAGTCACGATCGACGCAGTTCCGTCTCCGTACATGTATCCATTCATGTATAATCAATAAGAGGACGAGATTAGATCTTCTGAGCATCACACCCAACAGGGGCCACCTGTTGATCTCAATCTTTCTCCAGGTCTACAAGCAACCTGTTGCACCGCGTGTTACGGCTTTCAAACCCGAATTAATTATTATTCATTTTATTTTACTTGCTTCTCTGTACGCCCGTCGTTCTCCTTTAATAAATGAACTTTATAACTCTTGATGTCTTGCATTATTATAATGACTTCAATTCATCCGCAGATGGCCCGACCGCTCGATCTCCAACGCTGAGTGGGGGGCCCAGCGAGTGAGTGGGCCGACCTCCTCGGTTAGACTCTCCAACAGTTATGTTGTGCAACCGAATGTACCATACGCATGGTGCATACGATGCAAAACGACGTCGTTTTGACTAAAAACGCGCGTCCCACTTAAAAAAAAAAAAAAATCAAGTTCGATTCTCGGCAATAGCATTATTGTGGATATATAGTTATGAATTTCTGGATATATAGTTATAAATTTGTGGATATATAGTTATGAATTTATGGATATTTAGTTCATTCATTGTGGATATTTAGTTCATTCATTGTAGATATTTACTTCATTCATTCACTGTGGATATATAGTTATGAATTTATGGATATATAGTTATGAATTTATGGATATTTATTTCATTCATTGTGGATATTTAGTTCAATCATTGTGGATATTTAGTTCATTCATTGTGGATTTTTACTTCATTCATTCATTCATTATGGATTTTTACTTCATTCATTCATTCATTTTGGATTTTTACTTCATTCATTCACTGTGGATATATAGTTATGAATTTCTGGATATATAGTTATGAATTTCTGGATATATAAAAATGCTATTGCCGGGAATCGAACCTGATTTCTTCTTTAAGTAGAACGCGCGTTTTTTTAACCAAAACGGCACCGTTTTGCAACCGTATGCACCTTGCAAGGTGCATTCGGTTGCACAGCATAATTTGCGTAGACTCTCGGTGTCAGCCTCAATGCTAGGTGGGCCAACTGCCCAATGCCCAACGCTGAGTGGTCAGACCAACGAATGAGTGGACTGACCTCCTCGGTTAGACTCTTGGTGTCGGCCTCGAAAGTTGATGGGCAGACTGCCCAATGTCCAACGTTGAGGGGTTAGCCCAATGAATGAGTGGGCTGATGATGCGGATCCCCCGGGGATGAATTCGAGAATCAATACTCTAATGAATCCAAAGTTGGTCCGATCTTTTCCTCACAAAAATAGTAGCAACAAGAACTAAGGTTTGGGGTGCAGGAGATGATATTTGGCTGATGTAGGGCTGGTTAAGGGATCATTTTTGGTGTTTTTAATAAGGATATTTCCATCACATCTTGGTCTTAGGTGATAAGGAATGAATGACACCACAAGATTGGTATTATCTTGATGAGCCTAAAAGAACACCTCTCAAATCACATGAGAGACAATAAAGAATGCCTTAACATTTCTTTAATTCATTTAACTTCATAATCTATCTCCCTACAAGTTCCTACAATATGCTATTTATAAGCTAGCTATAAATCAGAAAATACATGAAAGGAAAGAGGTGTGGAGGACATGGTCACCCCACTTCCTTATATTTAGCCTAAAAAGGGGATTACTAACTATTAGGCTATAAACAAATACCAAACAAATCTTGAATTTTCAGCCACAAAAAAAAAAAAAAAAATGTGCTCTATTTTGTCTCCATGACATGGAATCAACATGTTGTATCTTCCCCTCTTGGCAGCCATGAATTTTGACCACTTCAAAGGGGTTTTCCATTTGTTTTTTTAGGCCAACGTGTTATTCCAATTCAGCATGGTAAATTGTTTTGGCATTTATTTGTTGTTGGTGTTTTATTGGCATTGTTTAAGGCCTCCAAATGCAATTGTAAGTAATTTATCAAGCACATGCCTTAGTTCCTAACATTCCCTCACTCTTTGAGATGATTCGTCCTCGAATCAAAACTTTCCTCGGTCAAATGGAAATGTGTAAATTTCCCACCGCATGAATTGTGTAGCTTCATCAAGGAAAATGAGTGATCCCGAACTTTCTTTAACTAGCACAACATCTCCACAAATGCACGCTTTGGATCTCCATTTGTCAACCTTTCCAACCTATTCTCAAATCTTGAACAACGTTCATGATCCTGCAAAGAACTTAAAACAAAGGTTATTGTGTTCTCAATGTCCTCTCCATCTTTCTTTTTTTTTTTTCACGAAGATCAAAACACAATTCTTCATTCTCATTTTCACTATTTTTTTATTCTTTTCTTCTTTTTCACTCAAACATTCCTCCTCTTTTTTTGTGCACTCATCTTCACAAATTTTTACATTACGGTGGTCTACCAGGAGTGCCACCGTGAATAAACTCGTAGGTGCCAAGAAAATCGGCCAACTCACCTAGGGTTATGGTACCACGAACCGAGAGAGATGCGGTGAGGTTTTGAAATTCCGGCCGTAAACCCCGAAACACATACAGATTCATCTCGTCTAACCCAACCGGCCTACCTTCAAAAGCAAGATCTTCCAAAATAACACGGGCACGAGCAATATAATCAGCAACCGTGGAATCTCCCTGGCCTAGAGACTGGAGTTGACTAAGGAGATTTAGAGAGCGGGCGCGAGACACATAGGCCAAAGACTTTTCAATGCACTCCCAAACTTCCCGTGACGTACGACGTCCAACGGTGAGGTGCAAGACTTCTTCACTGAGAGATGAAATCAACATCGACATAAGAGGCCGATCATGCCGAAACCACGTGGCATGTTCGGGATTGGGAGTCGGCGGGGCGCCATCAACGACAGAAAGAAATGGTGCCGGCCTCAAGTACGAACCATCAACATACGACATAAGACCGTGTCCGTCCAGAAATGGGACGACTTGAGTTCTCCGAAACAGATAATTTTTGGGAGTAAGGATAATACTGACAAAGCGATGCGCAGTAGAAGCGAAGAAACCGTATGGCTAGCGGAAGATGTGATAGCGACATCGGAAACGGTCCGTTCAGAGGAATTAACAGACCCGTCAGCCATTGGAATAAAGGAAAAAACCCTAGTTTAACTAATACCAGATGAGAACTGTATGAAACTGTATATTATGAACCATAATTACAATGAACATGTAAGGGGAATATATATACAAGAGGAATCACATGGAGACTAGAATAGGAAGTCATACTATGACTCAAATACAAGAATCCTAATACTAGTCCTAATAACAGACACATAATAATATGATAAAAGTTGGAATATTCAAAGTATAATAAATATGAAAACAGTTCCATGAATTGTGAATAAAGGAAAATGCTTGGTCTTCTCTCAATTGAAATAGTATATATTGGGAACAAAGAAACAAAAAGCTGCTGCTTATTGAGTAACCTCTCAACGTGCATACCAATAACATATTTAAGTTGCTCATGAGTGTACTTACTGCATTCAATCAACAGATACAGCATGCCGGTGGCTTCTGGGCTTCAACCACTGGTGCGTAATAATTATTGCTCATACTTTGCTCAAAAGTGTACTGCATTCATCAACACACATAATACAAAATCAATAAAAAAAATGAGGAAATGATTAGAGTTGAGAAAAGTGCAAAAAGAGATGGAACTGAGGAGTGCGGTCAACAATAGCAAAACTATCATATCCATAAGTGAGCCGTTCTTCTTGGATATTTTTGGCACACGTCAAAAGCGCAGGCTTACACCTTTCAAAGTCAATTGATTGGAGAGAACTAATGGTTGAGAAAGAACTTGGGATCTGTTTCAATCTGTCACAGTACTTGAGGACTAGGCGCTCAAGCATAGGGAACTCATCATCAAAGGCAGTCCAAATCTCGAGTTGTGCGTTTTCAAGTTGTAAAAACTTTAATCGACGAAATCCCCCTTCAGTTGGTTCCCACTCCGGCCCATAGAAAGCATCCATTTTTAGTTTGAGAACCTCTAGTCTAGGCAACAAGGCAATTGTTGCTATATTATCCTTCCATGGCAGATAAGTCTTGCGTAGATTCAACTTCCTAAGGTTATCGGGAAGTGCATCTATACTTGGAAGGGACATGCGCTTAGGAATGGGAAACTCAGCTTCAATAGTTAAAACCTCAAGATCATTCAAATAACATAGATTTTTCAAGCTGATAGCACCATAGAAAGACACACCATCATCAGGAATCACTCTATCTTCACAAAAAATCCCTAACGTTTTTACGTTGGGAATTCTAGAAATAACTTCTCCAGTGCAATTAAATATGCTCAACCAATACCAAACTTGCAAGTCCTCTTTCACTGTGCCTGGAGGCTCCAATTTAAAGATGTTTCTTCTAAACTCAAGATGCCTTAATTGTGGTGATCCCCAAATTGTGGATGGCAAATGAGAAAAATGCACTTGCCAGTGATGAGGGGCACTATGTGAAACCATAAGTGTTTGCAATTTTTTATTTTTAGGCAGTATATTCTTGAGACCCTCGGAGCCAAGAGACCTATCCATCTCAAAAGCTAGGTATCTTAGAAGAACTATAGCGGATAGATGATCTAGGTCGGACAGATTGACTGCCTTATTGTACAAAGGAGAAGTCAAATCTAGAACTATTAACAAGCTGAAGTTTAGAGGCTTTGGATCATTAACCATTGGCATTATGACCATTGGCATTATTTCATCTTTTTGCAAACACAAAATGGAGCGGGCTTTACTGTTGCAACAATCAAAATGCTCATCAGACTTTAAATTTGATGATCTAAAACTTAGCCAACGACAAGTATCACAGTTTTTTTTGGAACTGCTGCACATATCAAAAGGCTCAGGTCTAAAACATAGCCAACAAGAAGCACCATGGGGTTTTTTGAAACGACGACTACTGTCGGTGCACATACCAAGACTATTATTGTCTTTAACATACAAAAGTTTTTCATTTGTGGCTTGTCGTACACAAAGTCCACGCAAGAGATCATGCATCCTACATGTCTTGATTTGGCCATCACATTTAAGCTTATCAATTCGGACTAGACTTCTACTTATAAGATCATGTAAATATCCAACACCCACTTCTTCCAATTCCTTATCCCTCACTGACTTCTTCACAAACCCCTCGGCAATCCATAACCTAACAAGCTTTTTAACAGGAATTTCACTACCTGCTGAGAAAACTCCTAAATATAAAAAGCAAGCTTTCAAATGCTGAGGTAAATGATTGTAACTTACAATAAGAATTCTTGAACATTGTTCACCAATATCTGTACTAAAACGATAGCTCATTTCTTCCACAATATTTTCCAATTCTTCAACTTTGCTGATTTGGGATACAAGTCCAGCAGCTACAACAATTGCCAGGGGAAGCCCCCCACACTTGCCAACAATATTCCTTCCAATTGTGTTGAACTTAGAGTGCAAGGGCTGTTTCAAGATAATGTGACTGCAAAATAGATCCCAACTTTCTTTAGAATCAAGATAATGCAAGTTGTGAATAAGATTGCTGGCACCTGATTTAGTGTAGTCTGCAATCTCTTTTAGCCGAGAGGTCACCAATACTGCACTTCCCTGACTTTTAGGAAAACATCTTGTGAGATGATCCCAAACACCGGTTTCCCATACGTCATCCACCACAATCAGATACCTTTGACGACCCATCAAACGCTGTCGTAGTTTGTGTGCTAGATCATCTGTGCTTCCGTCAGTATTCGTTCCTCTCTCAATGGACCAAAGAAGGTTGCAGAGAATTTGTCTCAGGTTAACTTCTTGAGAGACAGTAGCCCATGCACGAAGGTCAAAGTGGGATATGACTTGTGGATCTTCGTAAACTCTTTTGGTTAAAGTAGTTTTACCAATCCCGCCCATCCCGAGAATGGAAATGACTTTCCATGGGCGACCAATGAGCTGATTAATTATTGTATTTAATTCACTTGTATGCCCAACCATTCTGTCCTCAATCTTTGAGAACCGCTGTGAAGATCCGCTCTTGTGGTCTGAACCAGTTCAATATCTAACGGAAGGGCATGTACCCATTGAAGAAGAGTTGTAAATTATGAAATGTAATATAATACGGTAAGAAAAGACTGTCGTGATACCTTTGGCAAATTTTTGAGGGCAGAATCATTGTTTTCTCTGTTAATTCCGTTGACGAAGTTTTGAGTTTTTTCAGATACTTGTCGTAGGTTCTGAAAGAGTATCATCTCTGAATCTTCACCTAGTACTTGTTGTAGGTTCTGAAAGAGTGTCATCTTTTTATCTGCCGCCTCCATATATATCTTTGCCAGATTTGATTCAACTTCACCTTCTGCTAAAAAGGCCAATTCTCTGATTTTGGCTTCCAAATCTTTGATTACAGCTTCATCTATCCCTGGTTTCTTCACTAAGTCGTTGAGAAAGGTGAGCAAGAAACCGAGATTATGGTGGAGAGAACTAACCATATGTGCTGTATCTTCATCAAGAATCACAGGTGCTCTGCAGGGTTGTAAGAACTCAAACTGGATTGTATTCATCAGAGAAGTTAGAGGAACACAAGCCATATCTCTCTCTCTCTCTTTATTTGCTTCAGACGGAGTACAATATTATTTGGTAGAAGAGGAGTCAAACTAGATTAAAATATGATTGAAGGGCGTTAAGATGGAGCAGTCAAAGGTTGAATTCGATGAATTCCCACATGGAGCTAGCAGCCTAGCACGCGTCTCCATCAGGTTGGTTCCGATTTATAAAACTACTAAATTATAAATTTATTCAGGATTTTCTAAAATTATCTCACTCTTACATATGCTTATGCATTATTCCATCAATTATTTTAATAATATATAGAGGAGACTAATTAAGTAATTAATTAATATATTATTTATTTATTTTCTTTGATATTTTATTACATTTTTAAAATTTTTTTAATACCATTGACTATATTACAAGATAGTATATATTCTATACTTTCTCTATCTATTGCAGTCCAAAGAGTTAAGATCCCACAACTATACTTTCTCTATCTATTGCAGCCTACCCTTATGCCTCAAGAGGATCCACAGAGGTGTCATCTAAGCATAAGGTGTTTGATTTTTTATTTTATTTTTTTAATATAAACCAACGCTTTAACCTTTGTAGCAATTCCAAAAGAATGCAGATCAATTTTAAGAAAAATATTTTTTGCATGTCATGAATTAACTATTTACCATTTCTCTTATATTTGTATGTTTTTCCCTCACCCTCTCTGTATGTTTCTGAGTAATTAAGGTTGTATGATTGAAGGGCCATTAGTATAGAGCTAGAAGGCATCTCATCGCCACATGCCCACATATGCTCGAATTTTACATTTTTTTTTTTAAATGCAATCACACAACTCAATAAAACTGTTAAGCAACTTGGGTGCCTATACTAAATTAAGAGTCAACTTACTGGCCAAATTATTAAGTGAGCGGAATCAGGAATGATATCTTAAAAGACAACTTATTACAGGCGAAATTATTGATCTGAGTGAGTTCTACTATAAATATTTTTAAATTTTACTTCTTTTACTTCTACTTCTTGATGTGATAAATAAGAATTGGTTATTTTTATCACGTCAGTCCATAGAAAAGTGTCTATATCAAAAATTTGTGAAAGTAAAAATTAGGAGTATAAAATGGAAGCTCACCAAGTATTTTAATTGTTAGGTGAGCAAAATTAGGAGTGATATCATTTTGATAGTCGTTGGAATAGTTTTAGTCACAAAACTATATGTTCATCATTGCTCAATTCTTCAACTGTTGCGGTACATTTGGTTCACATAAAATATTTGAAGAGAAATGAAATAGAAATTTTGTGAAAAAGCAAATTATCACTATGATTGATTTCTTTGTTTATTTAGTGGGGATAAATGCTCACTATATCAAATATGACTATAAGAATTGAACAATATTGCGTCCATTGTGACAAAAGTAGACACCTAAATAACGCAGTGACAGTTTTATTTTTATTTTTTTGAATCAGAGAGGAGGGGGAAACCCAACACATCTAAAGAACAACAGCAACTCATTGTCGACAGACCCGTCTGGTCGATGAGGATCCTATCCTATCAAGGGCAAGAATATCCTCAAGCTCCCGCGGCGGAGCTTCAAGAAAATTAAGAACCCCCTGCTGTAAAAAAAAGCCATGGCCGCCAGTTTATCCGCCAGGCGATTTTTCTCTCTGTAAATATGAACAAATCGCAAGTCTGTGAAAACCTCTGCTTCCCTAATGCAAAACCTCACAATGTTGTTTATATGGTGGCTACCGCCATCACCCTGTCGTAAGGCCTCTACCAAAGATTTCGAGTCGCATTCCAGAACAATGCGCCTGGCACCATAGTCTTTCGCCATCCGCAAACCCTGCAAAACGCCCCAGGCTTCCGCTACATCTATCGGACATCTTCCAATTTTGTATAAAAAACCTTTGAGCCAAATACCATTACTAGAATTCATTAGAAGTAAGGTGTCTCTTAGTGCGCTCATAATTAGTCATAATTTTCTTGTGTTTGACAAGCGATAGGAACATCGAAATTTTAGCCGGCACTTTTAGCGCCCAAATGAGTCCCCAGCCTTTGTCTACCTCCCTGTCTGCGGGTGGAATCACCAAGCTATACGCTCATCTCACCGTAAAACGTCCCCGTATGTCTGGACCCCAGCCCCAGTCGTCCTCGGCGTTGGGCTCTGCTAGGCAAAACCCGGCGAGGCGTTCCAAGCCTTCATTAGGAAGAGATTGCCGCAGTTTCTCCCATTTCCACCCTCTGACTGGATCCCAGTATTCATCCACATTTGTGTAGAGTTCTGGAAGCCCAAAAGTTCCTCGCAGCTTCTCATACAGGGGCTTTGGGTAAAGCCAAGCATCCATCCAAAATTGTAGTGTATGGGTTAGGGGGTCGTGTGCGGCGGGTTCTGGAGTCCTTGATTGTCTTTGGTTGGGTGTCATGCTGTCATCTTCCTAGGTCAATGTTTATGAGAACATTAAATTGGGGCTTGGTGCCCTTTTCTTGACGTGATAAGCGGAGGAAGTTTTCTTCAGATAAGGGAGGAAATAAAGTGAGGGGGTTATGTGTAGGTTTCACAATCTCACCACGCATCTTAAGATTCCTGGTTCCTATGTTCCTAAATACCTAGAGTTCCAGCCTAATCTCCTAAAGTCCGGTCTTAAGAGTCTTATCCTAGGGTCAAACTTAGGCTCTGATACCAACTGTAACACCCCGAAATTTTAAAAATTTTGAAGCTTATGTAATAAAGGTAGAATCTCATTAAATCCCAAAACACAATACAAAGAGTACGGGGTGCTATGCCACACCTGAGCTTGGAGAACTCAGGTGCACAGGCTAACTAGTTAATATCCTTAATAAAGAGAATGCATAACATGGCACGCAGGCCAAAAGGAAACTATCTACTTCTATGCTCCGAGGTTCTAGCGCGCTCCCATGCTTACTCTTCTGTGCCTGAAAGCCAAATATATATGTTCAGCAAGAGATGCTGGTAACCCACTCCAACGCGTTGAAATACAATACATATAGATATATACACAAATATACGAAATGTCATTTTGAAACATGAAGATATATCCTAAGAGACTCTAGCTTTCAAATCAGGGAACCGACTCGACAAATAGGGGTACACACAATCAACGGTCATAATCAAGCATATACAGTTCTCAACATAGGGCACAGTTATAGATGAGCACAACCAACAATCACGACTAAGCATGTATAGTTTACTAGCAAGAGTCCTATGGTCACGTTTCCATAACAGTCATAACATCAATCCTTCTCATCTCAACACATAGCACACTATGTTGGCGCCACAGGACCAATCGCATGCCCATACATGAGGGTCAGCGCATATAGCTCTGACACGGCCCCGCAGCACCCTGCCCCGTTGGTGAGCTGTCGTAGGCTCCCAAATTAAAATCTTACAAACGTAGTAGCGGGAGTAAGGATCGATCCCACGAGGAGCAACTAGTTTAATGTATGTGTTTAAATTAAAGGAAGGGGGGTTTGGAATATATCGAGAATAAAGATAAAATAAAAGAGAACTTAAATAAACAAGCAATTTAACTGAACGAATAAAGCAATGAAAGTAATATATTGAAACACTTATAGTAGAAAACCTTGGTAAGTAAAGATCCACCACCGGAATTTAACACTGATCATTGATTAATAAAGAAATTAATATGCAATTGAATATTTGTCGTGAAATTATTTCATTTCCGTTTTCCCTTAGTTGTAGGTAACTAAAGCACACGCGGTTTAATTACCCCTAACTACTAAATAACCTAAGACAAGCGCTAAAGATTTAATTTAATAGTAGCAATAGGAACTAGGAAAACCGACAAACTAAATAACACAAGCACAAGCGGTTGCATTTAATTTAGGAAAATATTCTACCCGAGTCCAATTATCACTAAGCCGTCAATAATTAACCCAGTTGCTACTGAATATTAGAGTAATTTGTAGCACAACATTATCTAATATAGCAAATAATTATATCAAATAAATAACTAGTAGGCCTCCCTAGCAATTAAATGACACAATTATTTCAAATAACTTAGAAGAATATTTAATACTCAAATGCATAAAAAAATATATAATAAAAATAAATAAATAACCTTACAGCGTAATGAACTCCGGGGCTTCAATTCACTAAACCAAACAAGAAATTAGCCGCGAATGGGCATTGATAACAACCTTAAAGAATATTCGAGAGGGGAAGAATGAACATTTTACAATAGAATGCTTATTCTATTTATAGTATTCTCAAAATAGAATTCTACCATTCAATTCATTCCTATTTTTGCGCCGTACGAATGGATCTTGCTCAGTCTTGCCGCAATCTTCGCACAATGTTGACGACTCCTCTTTGCCACACGCCATGTACAAGCAAATAAAATATAAGGTTCAATATTTTGTTGCATGCTAAGAAATTAGGGAGTGGAATAAACTAATACAAAAATAATAAATATATAAATACTAAAAAATATATATAACGCATAT